CTTGCCAGTGCTAATGCTTGTGAAGGATATTCTACATCAACCTTCCGTTCTGTGCAGTCGGCCTGGTGATAGTTCCTCTGTTCTTGCGGTACGAGGAAGAAGTCACGCCGATGCGCGAGAAGCTGCGTTCCTTCGACTGGATAGGGTCGGCGTCGATGGCCGTCAGCTCCACCTTGTTCGATGGTCGTCAGCTCCACCTTGTTCCTTGTCGGAATGAGCTGGGGTGGCAATAGATACAGCTGGAGAAGCTCCGCCGTTCTGGTGCCCATCATCGCCGGCCTGGAGGGCATGCTGCTCACGTTCTTCTTCGAGCGACATGTCGCCAAAAACCCCTTCTTGCGTCTTTCAATATTCCATCATTGGTCGGGAATTGTGGTGACGCTCTGTACCGTCATACAGGGCTACCTCGTGAGTTGATCGACAAGAAAAAGCTTCTCTCATTCGCACTGACACTGCGGTCCAGCTGTTCGCCATGATATACTACCTGGTCATCTACCTGATGGCTTGCCAGCTTTACTCGCCCATCCTGGCTGGCACTGGACTTCTCCCTTTCGCCATGACCGTGGTGCCAGTTAGCGGAGTGACGGGATCGCTGATTACTCGGATTGGACGGTACCGATGGTCTATATGGTTGGGCTGGTCGCTCAGCGTCATGGGCCTGGGACTGCTCGTCCTTCTCGGCCCAGGCACGCATCCGGCTGCGTGGGTCGTCGTCTTCATGTGCGCTGGAGCGGGACAGGGTCTGCTTCTCATCGGCCACTCGGTTGCCATCCAGGCATCGTGTAAGACGAAAGATGCGGCCTACGCTGTAAGCATGTACTCCTTCGCAAGAAGCTTTGGTCTATGCCTAGGTGTCATCCTCGGCGGCACGATCTTCCAGAACTTCCTTCGCGTGCGCCTTGGAAATGATGGTTTGCCGAGGATCATTGCCACCAATTTTGAGGCATACATCCCGATACTGCAAGCACTATCAAGTGAAAATTCGCTGAAGATGCAGCTCCGGGAAGCCTATGCTTGGGCGCTCAAGATGCTTTTCGCTACATCCACTGGCGTTGGCTTCTTCGGGTTATTACTCAGCCTGCTCAGCCTGACGATCGGTGATTACACTTTGGACACTGCCTTCATTCCCGAGCACTCGTTGAGGAAGTGACGCAGAGTGTCGGAAAGCCAGTCGCACACAGTCAAGGACTCTGCACATGGTACGAAAGCGACAGCAAGAATTCTCGAGCAGAACGAGTGTGGTAATGGCATTTGAACCAAGGTAGCGTTCTAGACAAATAGCTCTGACCGGAAGTGCATCTTTGCAGCGAGGCGCTATT